AATAAATTATAAATAATAGCAACTATTTAAATTTAATATATATAAGTTATTATTAAAATATATTATAAGTCGTCCCAATTAAAATTTTGCAATTTACTTGTCAAAAATTAGTGCAAGAGTTTATTAAAAAATTGTTATTATTTATTTGGAGAAAAAATTGAAATAATAAATTATTAAATATTTTAACAATAAATTATTCATTATGAAAAAAAGAATTACATAAAAGTAAAAATCTTTGATTTAATCGAAGGAGCGAAATTCTTATTCCCCACCAAACGGGTCTTTTCAACTTCTTCCCTCCCCATTCTCTCTCTCTCTCTCCCTCTCTCTACGCAGTTACGACTCACGAGGTTTTTACACTCTTACCAGAAGGAGTCTCTTCATCTGTAAATGTTTCTCTGCATGTAGCTTTCCTATATCGTTTTCACCCGCAGAATTTCCTTTTTCTTTGACCGTCGTTTGGCGCAGCGTTGCCGTTACCTCGTCGTGTTGGTTTCGGGAACTGCTTTTTTCTTGAACGGTACGGGAAAGTCTTCATTTCTCTTTCGATGATGGATTTTTAAGTACATTATTGATTTGTTATTTTCAATACAGGTAGAAGAACATCGCTGATTTTGTTTCCATTTTCAGCCACGGAGAGGTGAGCTTTGTTTGAGTGTGCAGGCCATAGTTGCCGTGTTTAATATGTTTTCAATTACTTATTGAAATGGAATTTATTTCTTTAATGGAGGATTTTGTCTTGGCTTGTTGCGTTTTCTTTGGTGTTGTTCTGTTTATTTGGCGAGAAAGTGGGTTGTAGACCAAGGAGAAGATTCTGTTATTGTTTTTTCTGAAACAAAAACAAGTTTGATTTCAGAAGTTTTTTCCGTAAGCAAACAATTGGGGTTAAGAATCAGACGTTTCTTGTAGGTGCAAAAGTTGTATCTGCAGTTAGAAAAGCTATTCAGAGAAGGGGAAAACGAGTAAAAGAGGAAGAGAGGGAGGATTGAGTGGAATATGTCAGGATCCTAGATTCTAATTTGAGAAAAATTAGAGCAAGAAGAAAGGATTTGAAGAAGGAAGAATAAGTTATAGAAAAATTGCATGAAGAAATTTAAATTTCATTCTTGTTTTCTTGGATGGCAAACAATTATAAACTGCATGTTTATAGGTTATGATATTTCATTAAACAGCCTAAGTAAAACTAATGTTGTGCTAATTTTAAGTAATCTAAATAAACAACCAACTAATTAAGAAATTGTAGTAATGATTAAATTTGGATCCTTACATTACCTCCCCATGAATTCATCCTCGTACAGAAGGATAGAGATGGGCAACTCACCTCGGATGGTTCAGGTTGAAATGTATAATTAACGGGTTATGGGAGGTGTATGTGTAGAGATATATGTGGAATTGGGTGACCCTCTGTTTTTTGTTCAAGGGTCACTGTTTCTAGAGAGGAGATTTCTTACGACATTAGTGATATTTGGCTAGCTTGTAACCCATTCTTTCGTAAATGGGTGGCACTTCATTGGTGCTTGGTAAAATTTTTTCCTGTCTCTCTCTTCTCCGGAAAGAAAAAAAGAAGATTTGTGAATATTTTGTGGGCATTGATTATTCAATTGAATAATTCATTTCACCTTCAACTTCTTTTACTTGAAATAACTTCTATACAACGAGGATTTAGTTGTTGTTCTGGTGATATTTCCCTTGCACATATCTAATTGATTACTGCACTGGATTGCACGAATGCAAAATCATCCATCGAAGGTTCATAAAAAAATTAGTAAAAAGGAACAGTAGTAACTTGAACGTGGTTACCTGTTGTATTTAACAGTATTCCTTCTTCCCTCAATGCTTACCCATTTTGAGTTTAGATTCTAAAGACTCACGTCAAAATTCTTTTGTGTGTGCATTATCATAGATGATTCAAAAAGGCACACATGACTATGATTTGAAAATTTGGTTGGTTTTCTAAGGAGCACATAGAGTGGCTATTAGTGGATGAGATGCAAGATATGTGGCCATATATTCTTCAATTATTTAGTCATCGTGATTTCTCTTTTCACCTGAGTGTCCTTTGTGGGAGCCAAATTACTGAGTTAAAATCTTGTACAAGATGTGGACATGGTGCATTGGATTATTTAGTTATAATTGTTGTCAAAGGTATATTATTTCTAGAATTACGTGCCTGAATGTATTCTTGTGCATGCAGACTGTGCTTCCCTTTTTCTAGCATCTTTAACTTTACTTTACATATCCCAAATTTATGGCTCAAGTCATTAATTTGTTTTGTTAGGCACTTAGCTTGTCCTTGTTTTTTTGGCAGCTTGAAGTTAACTTGGGGCCATAATCTACCTTAAGGGAATGGTAAGTTTGAGTTTGTATTCTTGCCTTAAATGTTTACTTCATCTTGGCTTCATTCTTTTTGATCTTCGACAAAGTTCCATGCTAAGTAAACCACTGGTAGTTTGGATTAAGACAGAAAATAAGAAACCTATATTATTCTTCAATTCTTTTCACATGTATCATTAATTTTTTATCAAGCTTTCATATAACTTGTACAGGATGGCAACACTTCTCGAGGAGTGGTTGATAATTTTGAATGGGTCTCTGATGATGAGCTGGAAATTGAGAACTTTTCATTTTCTGCCTGTTCAAGTCCTGCACGTCCTGCTGGAGAGGCAATGGCAGGCTCAGCAGAGGTTCATATTCATTTTAAATCTGTGTGCTATTACTAGATTGATGAAATTTTGTTATGATTTTAGAAAAATATGAAATCACACTTTAATGCATTTGGTGGGCATTATTAGTTGATCAGTGGTGAGTAAAAACTGTTTAAGAGCTGGTCTAACTGAGTATTTATAAAAAAAATGTATTTCATTTACTGCTTCTGTAGTTTAGTGACTTATAGTGAAGTGTCAGTTTTCATTAAGATGCTTTTGGAAAAGCTTGCTGACAACACTTTTTCCTTCAAGGCTAACTGGATTCTTTTTCTGTAATGGCAATATGCATATTTGCTTCTCCTAGATTATCGGGCAGAAAGTAGGCCCTTTTATCTACTCTTATTTGCTACTTCATCGAGATACTTGCAAAGAGCAAGATTGATTTGTTATTGACATCCAAAAATTTAATTTTTTGTTTCTTATTGGTCCATACCAAACATATTCTTATAACTAACGTTTCTTCCTTGTGATTGAATAGGCTAGCTCTTCAGCAAGTTCTTCCAGCCCCAAGGGGATTCATTACTTTGTAGGAATGGGATTTTCTGAAGAAATGGTTGCCAAAGTAATCCAGGAAATTGGTAAAGCCTTTTCTATTCCTTTGTTCAGGAGTAATCTTTTCCCTTGAAGGCTTCAACTTTTACACCCTCAATAATCATGCAGGAGACAGTAACTCAGATTTGGTACTTGAAACTCTTCTCAACTACTCGGTTAGTTGGCTTTTATCCTGCACCAAGATGCTCATTTTTTGCTAATAACTTGATGCTTTCAGTAATCCACTTTAGAAACATCCCTTTTCTATGCATGAAATTTTCATCCATTAACTTCTTGATACAGATTGGAACTTTTTTATCTACTTCAATGCTGATAGTTAATTTCTTTTCTTGTAAAGACAAGCTCAATTGAGGAATCTTCCAACTCAAAGTTGATTGATCATTTTGTTGGGATGGGCTTCCCAGAAAAAGTGGTTGTCAAAGCAATTCAGGAAAATGGTAGAGGCTTTTTCTTGGTTTTCCCAAGCACTGTGCATTACCATTTGATGGATAATCTGTAACCTTGATTTGATGAAAATTCAGGGGAAGGAAATACGGATTCAATATTGGAAACACTCTTAACATATTCTGTAAGTTCAAGTCTCCTTTTTTAGTCCTTGTCTTCTTTGGTCACTTGTCTGTTCCTTTGGGATCTCATGAATTGGATAGTTGAAGGGTCCATTCATATCTAATATGATAAAATGTCAATGATTTTGTGTGTGAACAACATGAAATCAAACAGATATTACTAGTTTTATTTCTTTAGAAGTCTTGCATATCACTGGTTTATCTCACTATAGGTAGTAATTGGTGGTCCTAATTCCTTTTGAGTGTCTACTGGAATTAATGAATTATGTTCTTCAACAAAAGAGCTTTTGAATTTAGGTTACATTTTGGTTCAAAATGCTAATTTTATGGCATAGAATAGGAATATAATAAGAGTGAGATACATTATAGGAATATTTCTTTGGCTATTTTGCAAAGAGATT